AACCAACATAGTGCATACGTCCAAGTTCAAATATTACACATCATGACAAGTATTATATGTGTCAGCCACTTACCACTATTTGTGCTTTGTCAATATATGGGTCATGTATGCTGGGTCTTGGGCGTAGCGAGTTATAATGCCTCCATACATTGTCTTTCACGTCGTACACAACAATCGTCCAGTGGAAGTTGTCGTGTATTGGGAAGATTAAGAATCTCTGGCCTTGAGATATGTGCATCAATCAGTTTATTTCTCTTGTGGGGGGGTACTCTTGCATGATTTTCTGCACACAAAGGGCATACAATGATGCACCAAGTATTTATATCAATGTTCGATGTGAATGATGTGAATGTTCACATCTGCTAATGATGAGTGATGTGAATGATGTGAATGTTCACATCTGTTAATGTGAGTGATGTGAGTGATGTGAATGATGTGAATGATGTGAATGTTCACATATGTTAATGATGAGTGATGTGCATGATGTAAATGTTCACATTTGTTAATGATGAGTGATGTGAATGTTTACATCTATTAATTTGTTAAACAGTCATGCAACGTATTGCAAATGTGAATGTTCACACCTGTCATATTATGTTGTTGTTAACATTCACATCTGTGTATCATTTAAGTTAACAACATAATAAGCATATAATGTTCACTGCGAATGATCTTAATATTCACATCTGTCAATGTGAATGTTCAGACCTGTCATTTTGTGTTGTTGTTAACATTCACATCTGTCTATCATTTAAGTTAACAATACAAGCATATAATGCTGAGATGAACATTGACATCTATTGAACATGCAACTCAAATACTGTTCATGTGAACATTCTCATCAACATCAAACATAAACAAACCAAAAGTCTAGTGGTTACCAAACATGTGCTTGTAAAGATGAATATTAAATCCTCCAAACTTGGGTTGACTAGCCCTTGTAGTTTATGTAGAATTTCACCATATGCATCTATCACCTGCAGAAACATAGGGGTGACAGTACATTATTTGCAGTGTCTTTACAGTGTGTGTGTGTGTGTGTGTGTTTTGTACACATTTATGATTGCCATACATTGTTGGTTATTGATTTTTCTTTGATGATGTGTATGATGTCATCAAAATACACGTCTTTAGTCTTTGAGTCCCCTCGCCACACTAACAACTTGTGCATTGTCATTACAGAAAACGTTAATGTCAACATTGCACATTTATGAAATGATCTAATCTATTAAGTATGTATGTGAACTTAACATGAGCAAAAAAAAAAATTCAGTTGGGGATATGTAAGATCATTTACTCATCACTGCCGTTCTTGTGCAAATTTTGAACCTTCTGCTTGTTGAGTTTGCTCATGTTGGCCCAAACCTTCAGTTAGTTTGTTGTTCAAGGTTAACTTTTTTTTTTGTTGGCTCCTTTTTCTGTGGATGTTTGTCTAAATCTTGTGCAATTTGGATTGCATGGGATTGCTCTTCGGCTCACTTTTTCTCTTTCTTTTGACCAGGCAAGTTGGGGTATTCAAACTCATCCAACCGGTGCTCTTTCTTTACCTTCCGCTTGATGTGCTTTACCCTCGATGGTGGGCTGATAATGTGTTCCAATGCTGCAATGGGATGCTTCTTAAGGCTGTCATGGGCCTTTTGTGTTTCAACTTGAGTGATAATGTGGATGGACTGATCGTCAAAAAGGTCTTGAAGAATTGTTTTTTCACATTCCAAGTTGATGACCAACTTTGTCAACCGCTGAATTTCTGTATCTTTCCACTCCATGCAATTCTTGATGTCCATGTCCATATTGGATGGGCCCGATTGGTCAAATAGTTTGGCTTCAAGGGCAGCAATCACCCTTGCCCTCAACTCCCATGATTCTTCCAACTGTTTGTATTTCGCTTCCCATTGTTGTACGAGACCCCAAGCTTTTTGGTTTTCTTTTATAAGTACATTCACAATGTTCGGCTCACTTGGTTGTGCTATGATGATACCTCTCTCAGTATTGGGGGTGTTAAAGCTGGTGTTGATGTCATGTCCAACATCATTTAGGTCCATTACATCGCCAGAAAATCCATCGTTGTCGTCACTGCATTGACAGTCTTTGTTTTCATCATCATTGTTTTCATTTTGCTTTGCTAGTGCACTCAACAAAACCTCAAGTTTGGGCTCCACATTCAATTTTGTATGATGGTACATCTTTGCTTCAGTTGGGGATGCCATCAGCTCGCCACCATATACCTGCAGTTGGAGACATTATGTTAGTTAGATAGTTCCTTGTCTCACTATGTTAATGGGCACAATATTTTTGGTTGTACTTCTACCTCATTTAAACCAAGCTTAGCCAAAGATATGGACTTCATGTTGGCATGTAAGGTTGTGAGGTCCCACTTCACACATCGCGGAATGGCATTGGGGTTGCAGGGTTATAAGATTGTTGTATGCTCACACAACCAGTACTGAAACAAATAACAAACATCAGTAATGTGAATGTTCACATCAAATAACACAGATGTGAATGTTTACACCAGTGGCCTTTAATGTGAATGTTCATATCAATTAACACTGATGTGAATGTTTACATTAGTGGCCAGTAATGTGAATGTTTACATCAATTAACACTGATGTGGTTGTTTACACCAGTGGCTAATAATGTGTGTGTATCCATTATTGAACAATAATGTGAATGTTTACATCACTGATGTCAACTTCCACACCATTGTCCAGTAATGTAAACATTCACATCAGTAATGTGAATGTTCCACAATTGTTTTGGTGCTAAGATTACATCAATTTACACTGATGTGAATGTTTACACCAGTGTCTACTAATGTGTGTTTGTACATTACTGAATAGTAATGTGAATGTTTACATCACTGATGTCAACTTCCACACCATTGCCCAGTAATGTGAACATTCATATCAGAGTGGGTAAACCCCGTAAATGTTCATATTAAACATAGAATAAGTTTTATGAGATTTACTATTAACAACGTCACACATCCGGTGACTCGTCCTGGTTTTCCACAGTTTTGGCCCATTGAACCCATTAGGGTTGCCCAGATGCTCTTAGCCCAGTCATACTCGATCATGTTGTCTAATGGGTCCATGTACGAGTAGAAAGCCCATCCAATTATTTCTCCGAACGTAGAAAAAAACAGCTTGACGCATGCATACATGCAAACTAATCTTGCGACCTCTTCATTGTCTTGTTTCTTTGTGCCCTTTAATGCTTCGCTCAGAATTTGTTGTATTTTGGCAGCACTTAACCGACCAACATCCTTGCACATTCGGTGTATGATGCCGGTTGTTGGTTTTGCACCATAAGAGAGGTCCATCGACTTGGTGCCGCAGTCCACCCCAAAAATCAGTGATACGTCGCTTCTAAAAATCTGGATGTTCTTATCCCCAATGTAAAACCTTCCACTAGATTGCTTGAATGTTTGTACTATACGTACAATCACATCATCATATTTCATGCAGTGGTTGAGGTCGACTTCATTACTGATCAAGCCAATCAAATAAGGGCCAAAACGGTGTTTTCTTAAGGCACTTCAATTGACCACTTGTAAATTTTGTATCCTTTTAACAGTTTTCACCAATCAAGTTATATTGATCGGTAGTTAACCTTTTTCATATTCACTTCTTCAGGACCAGCTGTTTGATCAGGTTTGGCTTAACACTGGATTCCCCTCTTTTTCGTTTACCATCAATCTACGGGAAGACCTGTTTGTTCAAATAATAACATATAATTGTTGAAAAACAAATGATGGAACCAACAACACCAAACAATAATCAACAATCAACAGTGACAATAAAGTGAACATTCACATCATTATACACTGATGTGAATGTTCACATCAGTGTCTACTAATGTCAATTTATCCAGTATTGTAATGTGAATGTTCACATCATCTATATTTGCAAAATCAATTCCGAAAACAACAACTGTTACAGGGCAATGTAAATGTTTATATGGGTGATCACTTATGTTATCATTTGCTAAAAATCAAAGGGTGGAACCAACAACACCAAACAATACCCATGTCTTTTGACATTGATGTCACAATGTGAATATTTACATCATATTCCATCACATTGTTGAGTGAAGATTGGGGGTTCTATGGACATCAATAATCAACAATATCAACAGTGACAGTAATGTGAACATTCACATCATTATACACTGATGTGAATGTTCACATCAGTGTCTACTAATGTAAGTTTATCCAGTAATAACAATAATGTAAATGTTCACGTCATCTATGTTTACAAATTCAATTCAGAAAAACAATAATAGTTATAGGGCAATGTAAATGTATACATTGGTGATCACATTATGATTGAAAAGCAAAAGGTGGAATGGCATTGCTTACTTTTATTCCTCATGGTGGGTGGGTATAGACCACACTCAGTGGATGAAATAAACTCAATCCAACGACAGGAATTTTCGAACGATGAAGCACCCTCCTTCCGATGTGAACCTTCGCAACGGTGAGATGAAGAGGAATCTGGGGTCGACGGTGGACGACGACGACGACGACGATGGTGAGGCGATGTGAATCTAGGGTTACGGTGAGGCGATGTGAATCTGGAGTCGACGATCAGTTTTTGTTTTGGAAATTTTGTAGTTTGAACAGTTGGAATGAGAATGGGCTTTGCAGAATCAATTACACGCGTGAGAGCGTGGAAGAGGGTTATTTCGTCCTTTTACAATTAATGAACCTAATGAGATATTCAAAAATAGTTTAAATTTTATAGAATAAAACAGTTAAAAAAAAGAGTCCACAAAAAAAAAAATAACAAAAATATAGGAATCAATGGAGTTTTTAAATCTTCCAACTCAGACACTTCTAGACTTCTCAGCAAGTGAAGGAAGTGAAGTGTCTCACTCAGATCTCGTCCATGACCACCACCACCACCACCTACCACCCCATCTAGCTCAATTTGAACATCCCCCCCCCCCCCCCCAAAAAAATGCCACGGACCACCTCTCTCTCCTCCTCCTCCTCCTCTGCCGATCATTACTCCAAATTCGAAAAGACCAAAAAACCCTTCCTCCCTCTCCCCCTCTCTCACCAACAACCCCGCCGTCCCTTACCCATTGTCGTCCTTTCCGCATTCTGCCTCTTCATCGGCGTTGCCGGAATCGCCTTCTCTCTCTTCGCCGTCCTCCGCCCCAAGCCCCTCCCCGTCTTCCGCTGCGGCCGCACCCAGGACACTTTCCGCTCCTTCTACCCTCTCCCCACCGCCCGACGCCCCAAGCTCCTTGGCTTCGTTGGCATTCAGACCGCCTTCTCTTCTTCTGATCGCCGTGCGGCTCTGAGGAGCACTTGGTTTCCCTCTGATCCCGATGCCCTGCTTAGGTATATAAAAATCCCGATTTAGCTCTTCTTTTCATTCGTCTGTTTCGTAATTTAATTACATGATTCTTTAAATCAATGTTTTCAATCAATGGATTGATGAATTAAGACTACTTGGATGTTAAACCCAAATGAGATTTAGCTAGTTAGTTACATTTAGATAAATTGGTTGTTAAAATGTGTTTCATTGACAATAATACTCTATTGCAGTTAATTCATTTGTGTATGGTTTTAATTGGGTTGTGTAAATCAGAGGTTTGTAAATCAGTTAATTCAGTTTATGTGAATCTTCCAGAATTTGCGATATCTGGTTATTGAAATGAGGTTTGGAAGAACCCAATTAAGTGAATATGCCAGCTAACTTAGTTGATGTTGGTGGTACCAGAGGCCTTTGGTTAAACCTCCTCCATCACCGTTTTGTTGCCCATCACCATTGGTTGCTAAAATTTGTCTCATTTTCAAGTTTCAACAATCGCTAATTGAATATGTAAGGTGAACTTTTGCGTATACTGTAATTATGCCTCAACATCGCCAGATATTGAGCCTCTTTGGTGTAGTTTTTTATAAGTTGAAAACTGACCATCAGAAAGCATAAGCCAAAAGCATGGGATAATCCAAAATTTTCAATTTATTTAAGCTGTTTATGCCTAATAAACTGCTGCAAGTATAAGATGCTATAAAAAAAAATAAAAAAGAAGCTCTTATACTGCACCAAACAGCCCCATTGTTGATGAAGTAGCTTCTTTACTCTTTGTTATTTTTCTTACTGGGGAATCATCAATTGGCACTTCCAATGTATCCATGAAAGTTATTACATATTCATTCAGCATCATTGCCTCTGTAGGTTGGAGCAAGCTACTGGTTTAGCCTTTAGATTTGTAATTGGGCGATCGAAAGATGCAAAAAAGATGGCAGAGCTTGAGAAAGAGGTTGAGCAATACAAAGATTTTATGCTTATAGATGTTGATGAACAATATCTAAAGCTTCCATACAAAACGTAAGAATTGATCTTCTGCATTAACTTTTAGTGTGTTGTTTGTGTGGTCAACAACTTATGCTGTAATGCTTCACAATTCTTGTAGGTTGGCATTTTTCAAAGCAGCCTTTGAACTTTTTGAAGCAGATTATTATGTTAAAGCTGATGATGACATTTATCTGCGTCCAGGTATTTAGAATCGTGAGTAATTTCACTCTCGCTGGTCTTTTACTATTAATACCATTTTCTCAATTCCAACAGATCGACTTGCAACTCTTTTGGCTAAAGAGAGAAGCCATTCACTGACTTACATCGGATGCATGAAGAAAGGACCTGTGATAACTGACCCTAAACTGAAGTGGTAGATAGGAAAACTTTTACCCCTCCCTCTCCTTTAAATATATATTTTTGAGTTTTTTTTGTTTATGCAATAATGTATATATTTGATGAAGTGTGTATAACTATTTGCAACATAATTTTTGAGTTTTTTTTTCTATTGCAAAAATTTTCAGGTATGAGAAATCAGGACATCTGATTGGTAGTGAATACTTCTTGCATGCTTATGGTCCTATCTATGTTCTTTCTGCAGAGGTGGTAGCATCACTGGCAATTGCTAGAAATAACAGGTCTGTCCATAATGATATGTAGTTTATTTTGGATGATCTCTTTATTGTGGTTTATATATATATATATATATATTTTTTATGTTTGTTTGGTTTTGTTCTAGTTAGTCATGCTATCACATTGACATTCATTTGGTGAAGTAGGTTGGTTTCTTGGATATTTTACTTCTATTCTATGGCACAAGTTGAACTTTTTTCATACATGATAAGTTTTGTTTGGGGTGATCCTACGTATACTGCTTGCCAAGTTCCCCTTGCTTTCCATTTTGACCTTCTGATTTAGGATTTTAGGATGTCTAATTGAATGCTAGATGACATTCTATGGAAGAGTTGACATTCTAAGCTTTGAGCAAGGCATTGTGCTCTTTCTACACGGATTCAAGGATGAGGCTTACAATTCATTATGGTCATGAGCGTGTCACAAATTCTCCATGAGGGCAAAAGATCTTACCTCTTTAAGTCAAAGGCACTAAATAAGCATATATATTCTGGAAAAAGAAATAACTCGTCCTAATGTGGCCATTCTGACTTTTTCTACCATATATATTTGGTGAGGGACTGAGGGTTTAAAACAAAATGACAGATTGCATAGCATTTGAATTACACGTGAACCAGAAGATGTGGAAAATTACAATCTTGTTTACCAGAGTCCATTTAAGTACTTTTTAAACCCACTAGTAGGACATTTGTAGCCCTTTCTTTTTATTTTTTATTTTTTGCTACAGGAAAGCTTGGCCTTCCCAATTATGTGCACTTTTTGATCCTTCCAACTTTTATGGTTTCATATTATTTTTTTAAAGTTGGACAACTTTTTTATTTGCAGCAAATAAAACTTAGTACAGGATATAGTCCCCTAATGCTTACTGTATTGTTACCTTTCATGATTATAATTCGCTCAGCTTGAATTCATAAATGACGAAACCTTTTTATTAATCTAATAGTGAGCTTTTGAACTGGGCAAAGGTTTTTGGTCTCATTCATTCACTAAAATTTAGCTTGGTCCGTGTTATACATTCTCCCGTGACTTCAGTAGATTTTCATGTTTCCATTACTTTGTCCTCTACAGTTTTTCTATGGAATTCTCCCTGTTTATTTCTTGTTTTGCTTTGATTATTTTTTCATTGAATGGATGTATCCCTTGCCTTTCAGTTTGAGAATGTTTAGCAATGAGGACGTCACTATTGGATCATGGATGCTTGCTATGAATGTACATCATGAAGATAACCGAGCAATCTGTGATCCTCGATGCACACCGACTTCTATTGCAGTTTGGGACATCCCAAAATGTTCAGGTAAAACAACCCACTGAAGCAACCTGCTGTCGTGATATCTTGTAAATGGAAATAAGTGTTTTATAACATGTGTGGTTTCTAGTAAGAATTTGATTCCTTGTTCAGTAATGCTAGGATGATAATCTTTTCTTACCAGATTTGGTTTACCATATATTTGATGTGGTACACTCACACTTGTTGCAGACCCATTTGCCAAAAGCCATTCATTCCTTATAATTTGAGATTGCCTATCCCATGTTAGCAAGCCACATTTCACATATTGGCTTTCCCAATATTTAGTGAAAATAGTTGTTCTTGTGCTTGGTCCCATGTTGTTCCCTTCCATGTAATTCAATTATGCAACTAGGAAATGATGTGCCCATCAATTGCGAGTAAACTTCAATCTAAGAAGAACGAATACTTATAAGAAAGTGCCCTGCCCGTGTCCGACACAACTACGGATCACTTGTGTTTTCAGTTTTCAAAAAAATGGCAACAATAACAAAAAAAAGGAAATGAAACTGTGCCCTTGTTTGCCAACGTTTTTATTTTTCGTTTTTGTTACCATTGTTTTTGGAAATTGGAAGGGAAAACTAGTTTGGTATATTGTTTGTGTTAAAAAATAAGTAGAATTGATTTTAAAATTTTCAACATAAAAAAAGAAAAGAAAAGTGTTTTCACTTGTTTTCAGTGACCTCTAGCTATATTCTGTCCACCAACTCTGGTGGCCAACCCTGGCCACCCCACCACCAACCACCACATCCGTCCACCCTCCACCTCCGGCCACCACCTCTACTTTCTCACCTAACATGTTTATTGTGTTTTCATAACATATGTGTACAAACAAACAAGTTATTTATTTATTTTTTTTAACAAATAAAAAAACAAAAGCTTGGGATTAGTTTTGGACTACATTTTCAGTGACTAAATTTCTGTAACAGATTTCTTGTACTGTGTTTGCTTGGGGATAGATAAGAGATGGGATATGGTGGGGCCATTCTTTTATGGTTGTTGGATATTGTGGGATATAATTGGTTTGGTTGGGATAACATATCCTGTCAAATGTTGCACATCCAACTTGGGATTTGTATGCCCCCGGATTAGGAATCTAATCCAACCATTTTATCCCATTAACAAATGTGGTTGTTAGTGGATTTCATTCTCATTTTACTTTGTGTTTTTTTCATTGACTTGTTCCTTTAAATTCTATCGTTTGATTTGAAGGGCTGAATTTTCTGATCATGGCTTCTCAACCCCTTGCTTCTTTAATTAGTATAATAACAAAATGTAATCTTATGGAACTTGATTAATTTTAGGGTTCCCATATTTTTAAGCTGAGTATATTTGTCACTGATAGTAGTTTTGCCCCAATTTTGCAGAAGTATTATGCTGCATCTTTTAAAACAATTGAATTCTAACACTCTGTCCTTGAAGCTGAAAATATTTAAGTTTAATGTTTAAAGAGGCTAATCCGAGTGATTCTTTTCTTCTTCTTCTTCTTATTTTTATTTTTTGGGAAAAAAAAAAAAAAGAATTAAAGAAAACTAATTTCACCAGGATACACTGAACATGAGTTTGTCTTTTGTCTAAACAAGTGTTGTGTATTCTACCCTCAAAACTGCAAAATATACTTCATGGGAAAAATTTATTGCTAGTAATTGTATGGCATACCATCAATTTTTACTTAATCTAGAACTTTTTGTTTCTACTACCTCTTAAGATATCGTCAGCATTTTTATGCATGTGAGATAATCACATGCTTATAATTTAGAATGGTATCTAATTAGAGATTGTTTAAAATTTCCAGGTTTATGCAACCCAGCAACTAGGATGAAGGAGCTTCACAAGATTAGTATGTGTTCCAAGAGTCCTACACTGCCACCCGATGATAGGTAGTGTCAGCTTGGTCTAAAACTTAGCAGATATAGAGCAGGCTTTCTGGGGATGGATTGTTTGCAAGTGCAATTAGTTTTTAGAGAAGCTCCCTTTAGTTGAGGTATTGTCTCCATTTTTGTTCATCCATCCTGATTTCTGTTGTAAAGTGTAGTATTCTACTTGAGCATTAGTTACTTTTACGCCAACGACACTCTTTTAGTATACAAACCTTGTTGTAAGTATGATAACAATATAATGAAAGCATAAACAAAATACTGTAGACCCCATGTACTGTAATGTAACAGACTGGATTCTGATATTGAAAAGCGTTTCCATTTGTATTCTCGAATTGCTCATTGAGTCTGAATCGAAGCAGGCCATAAGTTGCTCCATTATGCTAGTAATTAGTTCTTAGTGTAGTTGAATGTTTTTTGCGGATATGAAACTGTTAACCTACCATAATAGAGCTTGCACCGTCTGTTGCTGTCAACATACCTCTGGTTTTGTTTTCCAATATCTTTAGGACTGTACTGCATTGTCAAGCAATGGAATTAGATGAGTGCTCTTGGTATAAATGGCATGAGAGCTTGCTCTGGTGTTTAGGTCTTGGTTTCTAGGTTATGTCCTACTCTACTTTGGGTGTAAATATATGCACAGTGAGTTTTAAGAGTTTTGTTGTTTTCAATTGTTATAATCTGTTTTTTTGGTTATGATCTTCCATATTGTGTGTGGCCCTGTTAGGTTAAGTTTGTTCTCTTAAGATAGTCTGGGGATCAGAGTTATGTTGGGTGTGTTTGGTGCTTGTTCCTGCAAGTTGAAACTGATAATTAAAATGATTCATTGCACTAAGAGTTTCTCAATTATTGGCGAATATCACTTTACCTTATTTATCTATGAACTCGTACACATTAATCTCCTCAATTATGAAAATCCTATAAATATCTCGAGTGATATATATTTTTTATAATTAAGGTGGTCAAAATATATGAGTTTATAAATAAGAAGGGTAAAGTGATATTTGTTAATAATTGAGTAGGATTTTGGTATACTTAACCGTAATTAAAAGTAAAAACTAAAACACCTTTCCGTTGGATAATTTCTGGTACTAAACACTCTTGTACAAAATTTATATTAAAAAAAAAAGACTTGATTTATACTTTTTTGTGTTTTTTTTTTGGGGAGAGGGGGGAGGCGTGGCAAAAAAAATTTCTTTTAAACTTCTTTCGTTAGGGCTATTTTGGCTTTCACTCTAAAAAAATTATCAATCTTTTTGTTTTAAATTAAAAAAAAGTCTTTGTAGAATAAAAAGTTCTAAAAATAAAAAAATGGACAAATTTTAAAAGTTTAATTAAAGACCGCAAAAAATCTAATTTTTGGGTATTTTTTACTTTTTAAATTCAATCCGCTTACAGTTTTAAATGAAAAAAGTAAAAATAAATGGCATAAAAGTTTTATATGGTAACATTATGGTGAAATTTCAAATCAGTATGAATTTTAAAAAATGATTACAAAAAAAAAATGAATTTTTTTTATACATATTAATAATAAAAATTATAATATATTTTTTTGATTGTGTAATAAATTTTAAAAAAATACCACTGAGGGATATTTTTTCCTAACATTATTAGCCAATTACGGAATGAAATGATGGTATTATATTTACCAAAATAAATAAATAAATAATAAATGCACTTCATAAAAACAATTCGCACTCACCCACTCATGTGATTAAGTGGCTCGTTTTTGGAGTGGAAAATGTTAGAAGTCCCAAATTTTCTACTAAATAAATGATTAAATGTCTCACATGGGGATCCACAAAATTGCGGACCCCACACCCACACCCATATGAGACATTTAGTCATTTGTTTGGTAAAAAATTTAGTGTCCCTAACATTATTCTTTCGGAGTCCCACTATGACTCTTTGAAATTAATTGGTTTAGCTTAGTTAAACACTATCTCTCTTTATTACATTGTTCATTTTTTTCTCATTATAGAGTTTTTCGTACTAATTGGTTTCTTAGGGGGTGAAATTGTGAAATTATAGTGCAATTGTAACATGGGAAATTTAGCTATAAACCCCTTTTACCTTCCTTTCATTGTTAAAAGGACTAAGAAAAAAATTATACTTTCTAAATCCCCTCATAATTATAAAATCTTACATAAAGGATACAATTTATTATTTAAATATTTTATCAGACTATTATACTCCTCAACTAGATCTTTCCACCTTCTTCGTCCTCCCTCTCTCTCAGTTTTCGCACAATCCTTTCCATGAAACCCTAAAATTTTGATTTCACAACTCTGTTCAGAAACCACAAATGAATAGCTATTGAATCGTCTCTACAATCTCCAGGTACAATCAATTCAATACCTATCTGGTTATGTTAAATTCACAAATCATTCGAATCTCTTCACATTTCGCGATTTTTGTTGATGTTTCTACATAAATTTATCGACTCTCATCTTTAATTTTTTTGAAATTGAATGAGGATGTCGTTGGAGATTCGAAAGCTAGGGTTTCGGAGCAGATGAGGGAGATTCGGAGTGCGGTGGAGATGGCTCAATTGGAAGCGGAGAAGAAACATGATGAGGTTGTTGATGAGATGCTGGCGATGTTGAATGCGAAGGCTGAAGCTTCGAGATTGAAAGAAGTTGAACATGAGGTTGGGAAGGATGTGGATGAGGAACAGTAGAATATATGTATATCTATATATATATATATATATTTGTGTGTATGAGTGTTGTTGAACACATGTATTCTTTTCATTGAGATTTGTGATTGTTGATCGAGTTTTAGAAGTTTTTCTTCTCAATTAGATATGTTGATTTGTTGATTAATTTGTTTTGTTTTTGTTTGTTTGTTTGTTTTTTTATTTATTTTTGTTATTTTTTATCTAATTTCATTTGACAGAACCAGAGTAAAATTTTACTCTGGTTCTATTGCTCTGTTTTTTTCATTTGACAGAACCAGAGTAAAATTTTACTTTTGTGTAGTCTAACATTTTAGTAGTTTTTCAGAGTAAAATTTTACTTTTATACAGAGTAAAATTTTACTTTTAGTTTCAGAGTATAACATTTTACTCTTATTCAGAGTAAAATTTTACTTTCATACAGAGTAAAATTTTACTTTTAGTTTCAGAATGTAAAATTTTACTTGCATACAGAGTAAAATTTTACTTTTAGTTTCAGAATGTAAAATTTTACTTTTATACAGAGTAAAATTTTACTTTCATACAGAGTAAAATTTTACTCTGAAATATATAGTGAAGATGACTTAATAGGAGAGCTGATAGATATGTGGGTAATATAGTAAAGGAAAATGTCTCGTAGCTCAAATTTTGTGGCTCAAAAGTGGCTCAAATGGCCAAAACAACGTCGTTTTGGCCATTGGAAAATGTCTCGTAGCTCAAATTTTGTGGCTCAAAAGTGGCTCAAATGGTCAAAACGACGTCGTTTTGGCCATTTTTATGTTGTTCTGTACTCAAAACGACGTCGTTTTGGCCATTTGAGCCACTTTTGAGCCACAAAATTTGAGCTACGTAGCATTGTCGTTGGCCATTTTTATGTTGTTCTGTACTCAAAACGACGTCGTTTTGGCCATTTGAGCCACTTTTGAGCCACAAAATTTGAGCTACGTAGCATTGTCGTATAGTAAAAGAAACAAGTTTTAAAATAGTAGAAGGTTTTGAAAGTACTTACACAATTCTTGTCCTTTTGAAAGACAAATTAGATAGTGAGTGGGCTATCACCAAATCCCCCTTGTAACATATGGGTGGTGGTGATTCTCCTATTTTTGAGTATCTCCAATCTTTTATATTTTCTTTTATTAAACTTAAATTTGACGAAAAAATATTCAAAAATTATCTCCAATCTTTTCATCAAATTAAGGAAAAGTCGTTTCTTTCATTAAAATAAGAACTTATCAAATCTTTTATCAAATTTAAATTTGATAAAAATTTAAAAATATGAAACATCATTTCAATCCGCTTAAAGTTTTAAATGAAAAAAGTAAAAATAAATGGCATAAAAGTTTTATATGGTAACATTATGGTGAAATTTCAAATCAGTATGAATTTTAAAAAATGATTACAAAAAAAAAATGAATTTTTTTTATACATATTAATAATAAAAATTATAATATATTTTTTTGATTGTGTAATAAATTTTAAAAACATACCACTGAGGGATATTTTTTCCTAACATTATTAGCCACTTACGGAATGAAATGATGGTATTATATTTACCAAAATAAATAAATAAAATAATAAATGCACTTCATAAAAACAATTCGCACTCACCCACTCATGTGATTAAGTGGCTCGTTTTTGGAGTCCCACTATGACTCTTTGAAATTAATTGGTTTAGCTTAGTTAAAACACTATCTCTCTTTATTACATTGTTCATTTTTTTCTCATTATAGAGCTTTTTTGTACTAATTGGTTTCTTAGGGGTGAAATTGTGAAATTATAGTGCAATTGTAACATATGGGTGGTGGTGATTCTCATATTTTTGAGTATCTCCAATCTTTTATATTTTTTTTATTAAATTTAAATTTGACGAAAAAATATTCGAAAATTATCTCCAATCTTTTCATCAAGTTAAGGAAAATTCATTTCTTTCATTAAATGAAGAATTTATCAATTTTTTTATCAAATTTAAATTTGATAAAAATTTAAAAGGATGAAACAGTAGAGATGTTTTTTTTTTTCTCATCGGATTTGATGAAAAGAAATTTTTTGGGATAAAAAGAAATTTTTGAAAAGATTTAGATAAAATTTTGATGAAAGAACTATAGTAACTTATATCAAATCAAAATTTTTATTCAAATTTAAAATCAAATTAGATGAAAAAAAAAAAAAAATGATAAAAGGTTAATGGTCTTGTGTACCAGAGTTTTCTAGTTACAACTCACAACCTCCACACTTACACCTTTCTATCAGGAAAATGGAAAAGAAGCAAATGAAATGTCCTTTTCTCAGATGGAATTGCCAATTCCAATTCCATGCTTACAATTAAAGTAGCTCGTGATCCTTCTTCATACTTGAAAATCTCCAACTTCTACTACTAATTATAGGGCCTCAATAAGCACTTATATCCCCACCAAACAGGCCCTAAAGGCCCTACATTATATAAAATGACAATTGATTTAAGTAGGGACATTTTCGTCAAATAAGCATTTATATGTGGATTAGTACTCAATGCTTCTGTTTACATCAATCTAATTTCATAAATCTAAGTGCATAAATAATTTTCATAAAGTGAGATACATATTTGAGATAAAAAAATGAATTTAAATTCCACACATAATAGATCTCACACATGAAACTAGTGACATTTTGTGCATAAATT